ACAGATTGCACAATCCATAAATTTTTGGCATAAACATGTCACAATGTAATCAACTATCCAGTACCAGCACAATTATGGGATAAACAATTCATTAACCACCAAAAATCATGTAAAATAATTTAAAATGAAAAAAAAAAAAAACAACCTCCTGAAACTTCTTCCGCATGTCAGTATCCTGAGTACCAACGTAGAAGTGGTCCGGGTTATTTTCTCCAATAATCTCCACAATGCAACCCTCTGCGTCCTTGCTTTGTTCATGATCACACCTGCCATTGAAATTGAACTTCAAAATCATACCAAACCCAGAAAAGAGTAAAATCTCTAAAACCCAATTTCAGAAATCCACAAACCCATCAAATTCAGCAACAAAACCCCAAAAGATAAGGCCTTTTTACACCATAAAAACCCACCTTGCAATCATAAGCGTATTAGCTGCCTGAAGAGATTCAGTGTAAGATTTCCCAAGTCTTTTCAGCTCTGCCAAAACACACCTACAACCCCAAAAACAACAACAAGCGAATAAAAATTCAATCTTTCTTCTTATTTTTCAACATAAACTAAAAGAAAAGCAAAAGGGAGCAGACCTGGTGGTGAAGAGCTTGACAGAACCACCAAGAATGTTAGAAATAGCTGTATCAGCAGGAGCAATGTTATTAACTATTAAATGGTGAATAAATGTGCCGTCGCATAAGACTTTGTACGGCTGACGGAACCCAAAACATGCTGTGTAAAATCTCACAGCCCGCCGGTGGCGTTTCTGCTTCTTTACTCTCATGTCTTAGAATTTGAGGAACTGGTCGGTTTTGGAAGTAGCACAGGAAGGGTCTTTCTTGCTTGCAGTTTTGCAGAGGAATTAAACCCTACCTTAACTGGTGCTTTGATTTTTAAAACCCTAAAAATTTGCATCACGAGTTGAAGGACTGACTTGAACTACATAAGGATTGAGGGATCGGACTGGCTGGATCGGACTGGGTCAGGTTGGGTTTGGTCACCTTTGGTCCTTGTTTTTCTTCTTTGTAAAACATTTTTAACTTTTATTACACTTGTTAAAACTGAGTTTCATGGCGACAAAAACATAGTGGAAATTAATTAAATAGTGCTTAATTATCACAAAAATAAATATAAAGAATCGAATAGAATAACACTTAATATTTGTTCATAGTGATTAGGTTGTTATAAAAAAATTCATTTACTTGTCATCATGAAAAAATATTTTAAATTAATTTATTTATTAAATGAAATTTTTTAATAACATTGGAAGCATGTTTTTTTATTGATTTAATATAGTTGGATAATTTTTTTGTATCAATATATATATATATATGAAAATTCACATTTTTACTAGAAAAAATGTTTTAATAAATTATAAATTAAAAGGATTAATTATTATGATATTTAGCATTGCGATCCAGTTGTATTTTTGAAAATATTTATTTTTAAAATATTTTTTATCTTTTTAATATACTAGTGTTAAAATTGAATTTGAAAAATAAAATAAAATAAAATAATATTATTTATATATTTTTTTAAATAAAATTTAAAAATTATTTTTTATCTTACTTCCCCTCTATTAAAATATGCTATCAAGTTAATAGTTAATACTATTTAATGAAAGGATTAATTAGTTATTTCACTAAATAAAGTTGAATTATTATTTCATTGTTTTTTTAATTTTTTGTTACATTAATTTTTTATGTTTTTGTATCCTATACTAATATTGAAAAAATAAAAATAAAAATTATTTTAATTTATTTAAAAAAACTTCAAAACACAATTATTTTAAAAACTCATTTAATATTACATTACATTACAATTACCTTTAAAAGTATTTTTAATACCCTCAAAGATTTGTCAAGAAGTCTTCCGTAAAGGACAAAGGATTTTGTCAAGTAGTTTTCATCATTTAGTGTATTTTAAGTCACTAATGTGCAGTTCATGAATGATTAGAAGAAAACAAGCCTTAGCAGCAGAATGATTACTGAAATTCCATTTGCCATTTCCATAAGAAAACAAGCCTTAGCAGCCTAAACTTTTCCCTAGAGGATGACGCTGAGCTTGAACACATAAAGACGGTGAGATTCCTTTCTTTTTGGTTGATTTGACTCAAGATATTTGGTTTTTATCCAAAATTAATACTTGATCGTTCTCTCTTTCTGATGCACAGGTTCTCCTCCTTTTAGGAGTACGCTGCAGGGAGCATGCTGACGGGGGAAGTGAAGAACAGCCTTGCCACGATCTTGGCTGAATTGGAAGAAAGACATCGCGCAGCCCGAGCCAGTCTTGCTGACACAGTAAGCCTTCGACATTTCCTCAATAAATTGATGCATTCGCAGATTACTGTGTTTACTGTCTTCCATCTGAATTGCCCTCGAATGTGATCTTGTGTTCTTGAATAGTTTCCAAAAATCTCAAGAATTTGGAGTGGAAAAGACACTGATATCCATCTTTCTGGTCATTTCCTTATTTCAGGTCGTGGATGCCTTTATGGTTGTAAGGCCTCTTCCCAATATGTTTGACTGAATTTGAAACAACTCCGGTGCTTTAGTCGAAGAATCCACCGGTGCATTTATTTTTCAGGCGAGGCTGTGGAGTGCTCATGACACAAATAGCCTCCCGGAGATAGAAGACCAGCGACCAATGTGCAAGCATCAGATTTGCATTTGTTAGACAGCCTCAATTAGCACATACCTAAATCCTAAAAAAACCTAGCCAAAAAAAAAGATTTGATCCAGTCTGTAGACTGATGCAAGAATATCAAACATCACACCACATCTCTTGAGATCCATGAGCAAAAATCACTAACTATTGCCAAATAAAGAGGAAACGTATTAAGATTATTGATTAATTAGTGTTAATAAGGTGTACCCAAAACCTAGAATACCAAAATTGGATATTTTGACCTGTTTATTTGTTAAAAAAAAATTAAATTTTTTTTTTTAAGAAAGTAAATTATTTTCTGATAATTGACGGTGTAATGAAAATAAATTAAAAAATATTTTCTAGTATTTGGTTATGTCATAAAAATGAGTTGGAAAATAATTTATTAATATTTTATTTTTTAAAAATTTATTAAAATAATGAGAAATAAATCTTATAAATTTAAAGGTTGAATAAGAATGAAATTAAGTAATAAAAAAAAATAAGAATCAAATTTGATAAATAACAAATTTCAATTAAAAATAATAAAGAAAAAGTAAATAAAAATTATAAAAATAAGAACCAAAGTTAATATAAAAATTAAATTTTAAGAAATTAAATTGAAAAAAATATTCAAAATAAAAAATATATATGTAACAATAAAAAATTTGAGAACCAAATTTGATATAATTAACAAATAATATGATATTTTAAAATATTTTATAAAAATAAAAGAAAAATATTTTCTTGAAAATTAAACAAATTTTTTTAATTAATTAATTTTTTAATAATAAATAAACACATAAAATTTATAAAATAATATTTATAAAATCATTTTTCATCAAACAACAACGACGTATTAGAAGACAGTTTCGGCTCTTAGAGATTTGAAGTGGTACGGATTCACACAACTACACATCAAACCTTATCCCTGCACCAATAAATTTGGACATTAAGTTGCCTTTCCTAAATCAAACATGGTACTAGGGTTCATATTTTGGGGTTGTGTCTCATTCTTTATGGATTTTTTTTAGCTTTATTGAATCGCATGGTTTTTCCCATGGAGTACATGTAGGAATTTTGCTAGGATGTCAACATAATGGATATTGAATAAAGAGAATTGAAATAGTCTTAATTAATACAAATTACAAACGTTACAATAATGGGAAATAAAGCTGCTGTGATTGTCCTTTGTTAACAATTAATAAAAAGCAAAATAAATTAGTTTTTTTAAATTATTTTATGGTTTGTGGTGGTGATGGTGATACTAATGATTGTTTTCAAAATATTTTTTTATTTAAAAATATATAAAAATAAAAAAATTATTTTTTAAACTTATTTTTTATATCAAAACATCAAAACAATTTAAAAACATAATAAAATTAATTCATAACAAAATAAATAAAATACATTTTAATTTTTTAAAAAATATTTTGAAACACCGTCTTTAAATAAAATTTATAATTGTTTTACCTATTCATAAGAAAAGAAAAGTCTCTAAGACTATCCGTGCTTCAAAGGTCCCAGAAGAACATTATCTACCTTACAACGATGGTTATTACAAGAGAAGCCCTTGATGATTTCAGATAATATCCATGACAACTCTCTCCTAGATCGTCCATGTTTAATAAGAAAATAAAATTAGTTTTATCTCATGTCATACTATCAATTTATATAATATTATATTTTTATTCCAACAAGCATGGAGGAGATAAGACTCAATCTTCCTTAATTAGCTCAAGAAATAAAATATCTGTAGTCTTCTTATCCCCAGCGCTAGGAAAAAGAAAGGGGGTTAATCCAAGTAGCAAGAGCTCTTTAAAAATTCAGGTTAATTTCTATTGCCTACCCCCCAAATAAAATGATATACAGTTAAGTTTTTATAAATTAATTAATTGAGCTATTATTTAAATTTTAAATTTAAACTAGGACCAGAAAAAAAAAATCATTTAGAAGTGAATAATGGTAATTTCATGGGAAGATTCTCCGCGGAATGTTAAATCATTAAATCTATGAAAAATATTAGCATAGCATTTTTGGAAATTGACTTGGAAAATAGAATGCAGTTAAAATTAGGAAACAAGTGAAGAAGGTTACAAAAAGAAATTCTAGATTAGGAGTAAACAGCTTGGCAGTTCAGGAAATTTATGGCGAGGTGAGGAAAACACTGGATACACACAATCTACTGCCCATAAATGCATACTCATACATGAGGATAAGCCTTTGTAGTTGCAGAAGGTCAGTTTGCTTTAAAAAGAGACACGGTGCATAGGGATCATCAAGTCAGGACAAGAGACATTGCCCCCACACTTCTCTCTTCTTTTGTCTTCAAATATTGCAATAACTCTCTCTCTAGTCTCTATCATCCGTCTTGATGGCAAAAAAAACAGGACTTTCAAAGCTTTGGATTGGATTGGCTTAACCTTTCTCAAGTTGAAAACCTGACCCTTCACCCTTCACCCTCCTCTCTCCTCTCATCCATTTTCCCTTCTCCTTCCTCATACTGTATTGGGATTTTGTTAAAGTGATTTGCTTTTACTTTCCTTGTCCCCACCATCATCACCCCCACAAGCTTCACAGTCACCAAGACTCTTCTTTTATCATATAGTTTACTCTAGAGGACAATAATATATACCCCCAGTTGGAATAATACGTGCGTCCCTTCACTCTCTAGAACAAGGGAAAAGATAAATGAGTATTTGGTGCAAGATTGACCTGTAACTCTCTCTAACCAGTGTCAAAGGCCTCTACTTTGATGTTTCCTGGTATATTTCTTCTTCAGATATTTCCTCTTCCTTTCTATCACTTTGAGCTTTGTTTTTGGTCTTGCTGATACGGGTTTGTGTTTGCTATTTCTGTCTAGCGGATCCCTGGAGTTTGATTGTTGGGTGTGAGTTCTTGAATTTTTGTAGGTTTAGTTTTACTTTTGGGATATGGGTTTTTTATTAAATTGAGAATAGTTGAGAGTTGTGTTAGATCCAAGGTGTTTGATAGTATTTGAGGACTTTTATCATATTATTTGGAACATTTTCTCAAAGGAGGACTGGGATTTCTATGACTTTTCAGTTTTTCCTAGAAAGTCTGACTCAATCTTCTTAGAAGGTGAGATCTGGATGGTCAGGTTAAATATTAGTTGGTTGATTAAATTCAATTGATTTATAGTTTGCCTTTTTCTTTCAATTCTATATCCAGTGACTCTGATTTGATCATGATCCATCTATTTTCTTGTATGAAATCCACGAGTGTGCTGCTTGTTGATCTGTTTACTTCTTTTAATATAAGATAGTTTATGGCTCTATAGACTTTGAAACTTTTGTTTTTCAATGGGATGGTTGCAAATAATAGACGTGTATGAGATCTTGTTTGAATAATTATGCTTAAGTAAATGAAAAGGTGGATTGTTAAAAGTGAGTTCAATGATCATGCACACCTTATCTTTTTGGAAATTATAGGGTTTTGAGCAGTGTTTTTAATTGTAATTGTTATTAATGTCTACAGGTTTTATCGAAAGTCAAGCATAGGGTGGAGCGGTTTGAGGAATTAAAGTTTGGTGACTGGAATCAATTCGAGCTTCTTATAACCTCTATTCAATTTTTGGGGGGGTTTTGTTCTGTGAATGATGTCGATGTTTGATGAGACGGGGTTTTGTGGTGACATGGATTTCTTCTGTACCCCTCTCGTGGAAGGAGATGTGAGTGCTCCACAGGTAGAACCTGAGGTTACTGTGGAGGATGATTATAGTGATGAGGAGATTGATGTTGATGAGCTTGAGCGAAGGATGTGGAGGGACAAAATGCGTCTCAAAAGGCTAAAAGAACAGACCAAAAGTAAGGAGGGGATTGATATTGCTAAGCAGCGTCAGTCCCAGGAGCAGGCCAGGAGGAAGAAGATGTCCAGGGCACAAGATGGGATCTTAAAGTACATGTTGAAGATGATGGAAGTTTGTAAAGCTCAAGGTTTTGTTTACGGGATTATCCCGGAGAAGGGAAAGCCAGTGACTGGTGCATCTGATAATCTTAGAGAATGGTGGAAGGATAAAGTCAGGTTTGATCGAAATGGTCCAGCTGCCATAGCTAAGTACCAAGCAGATAACTCGATCCCTGGAAAGGATGAGGGCTGTAATTCAATTGGCCCAACCCCACACACCTTGCAGGAGCTTCAAGATACCACCCTTGGCTCACTCTTGTCTGCATTGATGCAGCACTGTGACCCTCCCCAGAGGCGGTTTCCATTAGAGAAAGGTGTTCCTCCACCATGGTGGCCTTCTGGAAATGAAGAATGGTGGCCACAACTGGGTTTGCCCAAAGACCATGGCCCCCCACCTTACAAGAAGCCTCATGACTTGAAGAAGGCATGGAAGGTGGGTGTTCTCACAGCAGTGATTAAGCACATGTCGCCTGATATTGCTAAGATCCGCAAGCTTGTGAGGCAGTCCAAGTGCTTGCAGGACAAGATGACAGCCAAGGAAAGTGCTACTTGGCTTGCAATTATCAACCAAGAGGAATCGTTGGCTCGTGAACTTTACCCTAATTCCTGTCCACCATTGTCTTCATCCGGAGGGAGTGGATCTTTGGTCATTAATGATTCCAGTGAGTATGATGTTGAAGGAGCTGAAGATGAGCCAAACTTTGATTTGCAAGAGTGCAAACCTGAGACTCTCAGCTATTCTAATCTAGGGATGGAAAGAATGGGTGAAAGGCTACCTCTTCGACAACAACCTTATCCAATCAAGGGAGAAGTTATGACCAGCACGGATTTTATTAGAAAGAGAAAGCCATCCAGTGATATAAACATGATGGTGGATCAGAAGATCTACACATGCGAGGCTGTTCAATGTGCTCATAGTCAAATCCGATTGGGTTTCCCCGACAGGGCTGCTAGGGACACTCATCAACTAAATTGTCCATACAGAAGCACTTCATTGGAGTTTAGAGGGTCAAATTTTCATGTTAATGAAATCAAGCCTGTCATCTATCCTCAACCATCTGCACAGTCCAAGACAACTGCTCCATTGGGGAACCCAGCACCCTCTTCCTTCAATCTATCAGGAGTTCCTGAAGATGGGCAAAAGATGATCAGCGAGCTTATGTCAATCTATGACACTAATATTCAAGGCAACAAGAACACAAATCGTGGTAACAATTTGGTCACGGAAGATCACAACGTTTTCCAGCCAAAAATCCAACACCAGCAGGACAACCACTTCCGGGGTCAAAGCAATATGATTAACGGAAATATCTTCGAAGAGTCCAACATCAACCAAAACCATCAAATGTTTTCCCAGGAAGTGGGTCAGTTTGACAGGTTCAAACCCTTGAATTCTCCGTTCGAGACCAACCAAAACAACAGCGGCTTCAGCTTGATGTTCGGCTCCCCCTTTGATTTGTCCTCTTTCGACTACAAAGATGATCTACAAGTACTGGGAATGGATACTCTGCCAAAGCATCAGGATGTTTCAACCTGGTTCTAATATCATTACCAAAACTATCTCCTTGGACTGGAAGAACTTTTCTAATCTTGCACTACATCCGGGGCAAACTCTCACTGCCTAGAAACTGATATGGCCGTCCATGTATTATTTACTCTCTTTTTAGGGGTAGAATTTAGATAGCTAGCAGGTACCGTACGTGCTAATAAAGTTTGTGCAAAACTCTCATAAATTGAACTACTGTCCATTACGTGTAAGGTGAGATATGCTGTCAAATAAATAAGTTGTGATGTATTTACTCATTTGGCTATCATATGGTTGAGAAGACAGCCATAATTTGTAGGGCTAGGATTCTGGTATTATGGTGTGTAATCTGTCTTGTAACGCCAACGTGTTGGCTGCTGCTAGCTGAAATGAAGGTTTGTCTTTTTGTGAATCTCTCATGTGAATACAGGCCCACAAAACTTAGTTGTGAGATGCCAAGTTGGACTAGTTGCTTCGACATTAATTAATCAAGCTGGCGATGTGGTCTGGTGGGTGGGGTCTCACCATCCCAGTCAAGCACGGCTCCTCTTGGAAGCTCTTGGGATCTTTTCATCACTGCTGAGGTTTTGAAAAGCTGTTAGCAGTCAACATCTTGCTCGTTCAGATTCAAGAAACTGAGAGACTCGTGGTCTCAATAGTGAATCCACCATGCTTCTAGGTCCCTTGTGACAAGACATCATATACTAAAGAACAAAACATTACTGGCTATGATTTAGCTTCACGTTTTTTTTAATTTGGAGTCTTAAGTCAACATTTCGGGTGTTGAGATCGCAGTTCTTAAACTCTCATGGTGAATTTAATATTACATCATTTCATGATTTCTTAAAAAAGATTAGATAAACTGTTCTAATATTCTTAAAATCATATTAAATATTGATTGGATTACTAGTTAATCCTCTAGATTAATAACTTCATTCTTATCCAAGTTAAATCCAGACCATCATGGATTCAAAGTCATTTGATTAATCCATGGGAGAAGTTATGCGCAGGAGAGCATTGTTTCCTCGTGGAAAAAGTCGACAGACTTGTGGTCTCAATAGTTAATCCACTGTGCATGTAGGTCCCTTGTGACAAGACAACCTGAACTAAAAACAAAACATTAATTATACTCCATGGATGTGATAAAAGTGTAATGATAGATATTTTTTTTTAATTATTGTTTACATTAAAATATTAAAATAATTTAAAATAAAAAACATTTTTTAAACATGAAAACAAATCAAACTCTTCATGTATATGTTAATTTAGAGTCTTGATTATTATCATTGGTCTCTAAAAGGTATATTTCTGTTAACGTCCCTGATTTTTATATTTAAATTTTATATAAAAGTGAATATTAAAATATATTTGGACTAAATTATTATTATATATTAAAACTATCCAAGAAATAAAAATATCAAATTAATAACTTTTTTTTTATCCAGACATTTTCTAAAGCATATGTATGATATCATCAAAAACACTTAATTTTTAAGCACGTGCGGATTAGGGAATGCTTAATTACTTTTTCTTCCATCTCTTTCCTTTCATTGGTTAATATCAATTTGCGATGCAAGGAAAGATGGTAGGGTCAGAAGTGGCTGTCAATTCATCCATCACCAAGTCTCTTTTGGATAGCTACGACGATTTCTTTATTTAAAAAATTAAAATAGCTCCGAGGCTCTTTAAGAGACGCGTGTAATATAAAAAAATAATTAAACATTATTATTTAGAAAAACTTTTGATACGTCTCATTAGCTATATCACAGTGTTAAGGCACGTGTAGTGATCAAGATGGCAGTTGAGCTCCACCAAAATATTTTTTTCCCTTTTTTTTTATTTTTCTTCTTCTAAAAAAATATATTGGTCATTATAAAAAAAATCTAATTATTTGTTTGTTGATTTAAATTAGATTATTATTTTTTAAATTACAATATATATAAACTTGAGTTATTTTTTAATTTTATTTTTTATATTTAATTTTTATATCAGATTTGACATTTAGACTTTAATTACAATATATTTAATCTTTATTTTTTTATTGATTTTTTTTTAAATTTCATCCATTAACATTTAATTTTTATATCAAGTTTAGTCTTTATTTTTTTATTGTTATTTCTAGTTTTTCTTATTATTTTTTTAATAGAAATTGTTTTTCAATTTCATCCCTTATAATTTTTTATGTAAAATTTGATTGTTATTCTTTTTAAATCTTCACTTTTTTTATTTTTTTAGATTTACCCTTAATTATTTTGATTGATTGAGAATTTTATGTTGTTATTTTTTCGAGTTTATCTTTTATATTATAAATTGACCTTGTGACAAGTGTCATGAGTTCAGAAACTTGGACTGGACTGGCTTTATTTATTTATTTTTATTTATTTATTTTTATTCATCAATTTCATTGAAAATTAATATTCTTTGTTTTTTTTATCTTTTTTCTCTATAGACTTATATTGGCATCGTATCTTGAGTCATCAATTTAGCAAGTTCATCATGTTTGATTTGAGTTTTTTTTTTCATTGCTTTTTTTTTTTATTTTTAAACATAGCTCTTCAATATTATGCTGGTTTAAAAATTAAATTTTATGATTTTATTTAGTTTAATTTTCATAGAGTTATTTCATACTAATAATTAGGTTATATATTTAGATTGATTTTTTATAAAATCAAATGATAAAAAATGTTCATGTTCATTTATTTTAGAGAATGTATTTTTTAGAATTCACACATGTGATAAATCAGACAGACTCGGACCAATTTATATTTTTTATTTTATTTTTTTAGTTTGTCATTCGTTACTTTTATTTGTTGGGATTCAAGATTCATATTTTCCTTTTCTTTTCATGCAGTTATTTCATTCTAATTTAATGTTTATTTTATTAGCAAACAAGATCATTGAGATGTTTTTGGGAATATTGTAAATATATGTTTTTATAATATTTTAAGCGTTTATTTTTTATATGGAATCATTTTTTTATTATTGCTTTATTTGTTGTGAATATCTTACTTTCTAATCATATTATTAAATTAATTGAGTTTATTAAACTAATTCAAGTCAATGAGCATATTTTTTTTTATTTTCTTTCTTTTTTAAAAACATTTGCATTGTTTTAATAATTTTTATACGGTGAAAAAATTAGGTAGGCTTGCGATGTGGTGTGGGCCACCTATCTATTATTTATACTAAAAAGAAATGAAAAACATTGTGGCCCACCTATCTATTATTTATACAAGAAATAAATGGTGTTTTCCTCTAGAAATGAGATGATTATAAGTTTTACCAAATGTTTTTATTATAATGGTATTATAGCAATGACAAAATTGTAATGGTTTTTTAATAAAACAAATTTCATTTGTATATATTTTTTTTTATACCTGATAATTTTATTATTTTACACGTGGTTTATCTATCACTATATTTTTTCTTATCCTTACTATAGTATTTTTTTAGTTTTTTACTTTTTACACTTTTCTTTACTGGCATCAATCTAAACAAGTCTTGTAGAAATCATCGAGTCTTTTATTTTTATGCCTTTTTAGATTAACTCAGGTAATGTTCTGTTAGCTGATGAATAGAGCTAATTTTTTTGTAAGATGCTATCAAATCTTTTTTCCAAAGATTTTCAATCATTACACTTATTATTGGAATTTATTTAGTTTGATCTTGAATCCTATTTTTCCATTATTAATTTTAAAATCATATTTATCATACACCTGATCAAAGGCTCGTGTCTCATATTTATTGGATCAACTCGAGTTTATCTTAAAATAACATCATTTTATCTGAAAAATAAACTCAAACAATGTTATTTTATATGACAAAAAAACTCTTTACAACTGAGTTGGTTAGATCTTATCCGAGTTTATCTCAGTGAAACAACCACCAGGTTATTAGTTAACCAATCAAATCACTCAAATTTAACCTAACCATCTTCAGAAATAATTAAAATAAAAACCCACCACAAACTAAAATGCCAACTAATCAAACCATATTAAATTTAATAACTATGTCTCATACATCCTCTACAAAATCTCATAACCATGTTCATGGACATCTCTCTTGTCAGGTTATTTATTTGAGAATGTGGTATGGTTATTTTTAAAATATTTTTTATTTAAAAATTTATTAAAATAATATTTTTTATTATTTTAATTTTTTTTATATGTTATATCAAAATGATATGAAAACACTTTAAAAAATTAATTTAAAATTAAAAAAATTAAAAAATTTAATTTTTTTAAAATATTGTTAAAATACAAAAACAAATGTAAAAAGAGGAGACGATAGTATATTCAAAGCATACAGAATGTCACCATTTATTTGTGGAATGTAGTGTCTCTTTTCCTTTCGTCTTATATTAAAAGGAAAGAGAGAGAGAAAATTCTCTCGGACTATTTGATCGTCTCCCTTGACATGAGGGTTTACTCGTCAGTAAAAGAAGCATATTTAAAATAAATAATAATAATAATTAATAGTTGCAGTTTGGAAATTTTCCTTGATTTAAGAAATTAGGAGTGGTGTGAGCCCATGTTTTGAGTTATTTAAATTTATTATCAAATTTGAAAATCTTGATTATGACTTTAAAATTACCAATGAACCACTTGACATCACGCGTGAAAGGATTCAAATTTATATATTTTTGGATTTCAAATGGTGATTTGATTTGGTCTCTTGGGCTTTTTTACTGGGCCTACTTGTTTTGTATATAAGGCTTGGCCTTCTAGATTATAATTGGGTTTTGATTTCCTTGCCTCCTGAGTTAATTTCATATGGGCTGGACTTGAATGAGTATTTATACTATTACAATGAGCTGGTCTCTTAGCGGGCCTTCTTGGGCTTTTGTGATTTCAAGCTATGTCAGCTTAAAGCCCATTTATTATCCGAGTCGAGTCGTTGCATACTTGCTGTCAAGAAGATGTTTCTCCACTTGGATTACGCTCAATTGGCACCGGCAGCAATCAATCATAGCATTATATAGTTATCGGCATGGTGACTAGGTGATTTGTTTAATTGGAAAATGGTATGGGCTAGGTTTATTAGTGACTCGTTTAGAAAATTAATTTTATTAAATTCAAGTAATCTAGTTGATCTAATTAAATTCATAAAAGATCTAGTATAATTGAATTAATTGACCTGTTTTTAATTCTTATTTAGAATGTCATCATTAATTTATTTAAAAATTTATTATTTAATAAAACATCATTTTATAATAGATTCAAACAAATCTATGATCTAGACCGTAGAGGTAAAAATTTCTTTGTAGTTTGGTGTTTTAATAGGGCATACTAGGTCATAACTTTAGTAAAACTAATTTTGCACACGTGCTATGGGGCATTTATTTTATTTTTAATTAAAAAATAAATATTGTATACTTTTTTATATATTTTTTGTTATGAAAAATTCTCAATCAT